TTCAAGAATATTCCTGGGTTTCTGACCGGTAGGGGACTTATGGATTGCTTGCAATCCTATGATAATTGCTTGTTTGTTCTTGGTGTATTGTCTTCATACTTGGCCACAACAACCCTTGGGACAAGACCTTTCAGTAGACCACACTAACCTTGACCTTCATCCATAAATGACCTTGACCTTCAAGGTTAAAAGTCCAAATTTTGCTTGTTCTTGCTATTATTGGCTGTAACTTTGTTATTTTTGAATGGATTCAAACTTGAACATAATAATCTTCAAGGATATCCCTTAAAAATAACCAGAAAGACCTTGACCTTCACTCATAAATGACATTGACTTTGAAGGTCAAATTATTGAAATTTTCATTTTTTTTGGCTATTATTGGCTTAACTTTGTTATTTTTGAATGGATTGTCTTCAAGCATGAACATGATAATCTTCAAGGATAACCCTTAAAAATAACCAGACATATATATAAATGAGTATAATTATATATATATACAAAATATATAGACAAAAACTAATGTGACAAGACAGACCGATTAAATTAATAAAAAAGGAAACGTTTAATATATATAAGATTTGTTCAAACCTTTCTTTGTTTGCTTTTAGAAAAAGTAAAAAGTCGAGCGTTGCCCCTGTCCGGCGGTTGTTAAAGTTAGCTCTTGTTGTTAGCTCTATGGAAAACTTTTTCCATTTTATATTTCATTGGTTAATTAATGCGAAGTCTAAGGAGGCAAACATCTACAAATACGGTCAACTAGGTTTATCATACGATAGAGGTAAATATTAATGCCGTGAGGCAGGCAAACCATATACTCAGATCGGTGTTCGGACCTAGTAGCCCCAACCACGGAGATAAGTGAATATCAACTTGAGATACCTGATCTATGATATCTGCGGCGATACAATTTATTTTCATAAGGACGTTTATTACAAAATTTTAACATGTAAGACAGTATTTTAAAATTGCATGTTATGGAAAATGCATGTTTGTTGATAAGTATGATTGTTGTAATGAGCACATAATATACAAGAGAGATGTATGATGATAGATAGATGCCATAAACAAAATCAATGTTTGATACCGCAATTATTTTATGCGCATAAAGAATTTTACTAAAAATAATACATTTTTTTGGAAGTGCAGTAATCTGAAGCATTCAGCGTGCATCACTTATATTTTGTATTTAATACATTGCTCTGTTGTATTAAAGGCATGTGAACAGATACAATGTAAGTCTATTGGGTCTCAGGTTTACACCATTAATAAGTACTAAGAAAACTGATTTGGTGCCATTTTTCTCTGTACATAATGAACTACTTGATCAAAATCTTAAGTATTTCATTAACTTGATATTCCGCATTATCATAATATTTTATGACCTGTGCACCCTGTTAAAATAAAATCACACAAAACAAATTGCAGAACGAGATTCGAGACTGCGGAAACTTTATATTTAACTTTCCGAATAAAAAGAATGTTTGCAAATGGACACTTGACAGCCCGTGCACAGTCCCATTTGTTCGCTTTAGAACTAAACTGTTCGATTTTATCCAGAATTCGCCCTTGACCTCAATCACGTGAAATCCAGTGAAAATCAGTGCTATATGTAACACCTCACTTTGGGGTCAAACGCACTTTGGGGTCGGACCCCAAAGTCCGTAACGTACTTTGGGGTCCAACCTCATAGTGCGTTACGCACTTTGGGGTCCAATTTTGACCCCAAAGTGCGTTAAACAGGTACGTATGCAATTTTTAACATCAGATAAACGGCCGCACTTTGGGGTCATCAAAAGTAAATAAATAAAAATAAATTTTAGTGATATTTTAAAGTAACATCTTGCAATTCACTAAAAATAAAGAAAGCAGCAGGCGAAATGTATTAAGTCGGGTAACATAAGCAGGAGATAATTTATTTTGCTTGCTATTACTAGAGGTTGCAAATTTGCATGATCTAGCGTTTGTATCGATAATTGCACCGGTTGTGTGACACACATATATCAAAACCTTATACGAAAGGATCTGGTGACGACCCCTTCAAAATATAGATTTTTCTTCAAGGTATATTTAAGGGGAGGAAATATTTCTTTTTTAATTAACTTTATTGTTCTTACTCTGTTAAATGTTGTAGAAGAATACTTCCATTAAAGCTTTTGGATCGGGGCACCAGCCTGCCACACAATTATGATGGCTTCCAAGATGGATGCCAAATTATGAAATTATAAGAATTCATCATACTGATCAAGATTATAAGTGCATATTTATATGAGATTCGTCCATTCATGTCAGAAATTATGGGGATTTACTATCGTAATAATATAAATGTCGTTCTCAATCTGTATTCATTCCTTTTTTGCTTTGTTTCCATGTAACTTATGTGTATATATATATATATATTGTGAACCAAACCAATATAGTAATCTCCCTTGAAAAGTATCATACAAGATCGACGGATTTGTCTTCCTTTGCAAAATTATTAAATTTAGCAGCGAGCAAGAGAGTTTTGTCCCTTACACCAAATCTTAAAAAGTAAGACCCTGTTACATATGTGTATATATTTGAACAATTTCCCTTATTTCTGGTACAAGAAACGTACAGTTCTCAGAATAGGCTCACTTAGATTCAACACGATCTAATCTACTGTAGAAAAAAAATATAAATATAATTTGGACATCCGAATGTGCAAAAACATTAAGCATAACCACGGTGTCAAGGGTATACGCATCATTTTTTTCGCGTACCGTCGATAATTTATCATCCTGCGTGCAGTACCGTATCATTTTAGACAAAATAAATACTGAAACACAACATGCATGATGGAAAACGACCTGAAAGTCACACTTTTGAAGTAAGTGTATCCATAAAAGTTGTCTACGGAATATTATGATCATTGAAGCTTATGTTTTCACCTAGTTTTTATCAAAGACTTGTACGATTTCTTTGTTTTAATGAAAACAGCTAGAGCTGGCTTGGGGAAAATGATCATTTGGAAAACTTTTAAAATGAGAAAATTATGTTGTCAGTCAAAATATTTATTTGATATAACTGTAAGCATTAAAGATATTTATACACATAATATTGCACACAAATTTAAGCTGTTACTTTCTTAAAAAAGACATAAAAGTGTCACAACTGACCGAGTTCTTGGTACCGTATCATGGGTCCGTACCGAAAATTGTGGCACTGTATACATTAGTGCTAGACTTGCACCGCATCATGATGATTAACCTAATGGTGAATAATCTTATATTTGTATTTATTTATTGTTGCCCATCTGTGCGAGGCCTGTACTTGTATATTTTATTATTTATAAACCGGAGGAAAATGCATAAATACTATTCAGTTGTAGAAGCAAACCTGGTTCTTTTGTGTGCCCGGCGTAAACACATGGGACCACGGTCATATGCGAAAGAATTTGAGTCTATACTTTAATATTTAAATCAGTTCGATTAGGACAACCAGAGTGCAAATTGCGAACTTTCTTGTACATGTAAAGAAGCAAGTTTATAGTGAAAATGATATGTATATGTAACACAAATATGCATATATAATTGTTATCATTTTATACATACTCTTTGAGATAGTCCTTACGGAGGGAGTTTCTAAAAAACTTTTCAAGCTTTCTACCCAATCCGTGCAATTTAATATTTGTCAATTATCATGTCAATGAAATGTTTATAAATAAAATATTGTTTAAACTAAAGAATTTGAGTAAATACATTAGAAGAGTAAGAAATCGAACCCGTGACTTCTAGACTGAAACGTCGGACTTGGAATTATGGCATCGCCTGTCGAGGCGTGAGCTCGAACCCTGCCAGCGACCATCCCATGTTTCTTAAGCAAGAAACTTACATTGTTGTGCTTTAAGTTATCTATAAGATTTATAATAGTCTATCAATAACTGGAACTACAAGGGAAAATACAAGCATGCCGACACAGGCATGTAATGGATACAGTACGAGTTTTCCTTCAAAAGTGTCTTCTTACAGACATAAGAAGACAATTTTGAAGAAAATACAATTAACTGTATCTGACTTGTACGACGTTTAATTGTAAAGAACCGATAAATTAACACATTTAATTATAAATAGATCTATGTATGTTCACGTTGAAAATATAAAACTTTAGAAAATATGTGCATGGCTTTAAGCTTTGGGCAGTGAAGGGTGAAGGTAAATTGTATTTGCACGGAATTTATGTGCGCTTATTTCAATCAGACATAATTCACTTTCATTCATGATAACCCGTACCAAAAGGAAAAGTTTGCCGCAAACTCGCCGCAACTTTGCCGCAAATTCGCTGCAAACCTTTTAGTTCGCCAAAACACTGTGTCAAGTGTTTGCCAGATATCGCCACTAGTGGCAACTCTGTGGCAAACATTTGGCGACTTTGCGGCGAATTCACCAGAATATTAAGTAGTTCGCCAAAAGGTTGCCAGAAACTTTCAGTGGACTACTAATTTGCCAGAGATTGCCAGAATCTTTCTATCAAAAAAATTATTCGCTGAAAGTTCACCAGAAACTTTTCTATAAAAACAAGTTTGCCAGATAATCGCCACAAACATATCAGTTCTGAAAGTTAATCCAACTTTGTTCAGTAAATAACTATTTTGCCAAGGAATTATATTATTATGCACATATAAAAAAAGTCCTTCATGTACCTACCTATAACCACGGATTTAAATGTCAATTAAAGTCCGTGCTATAACCTACCTACCTACCCAACCTTATTTTTATGGGTCGGGAAGTGGAAACAAACAAATTTTTATTTTTTGCCTAAGAGTTATCAAATTGAAACATCATATGTATCATGGAGGGTATTGTAGTTCACAATAACAGTTAAAAATTATAAGGTAGAAGACCCATAATGAAATCGGCAATCTTCGACAATTACCGCCATATCTCGCCATTTATCGTAACGAACTTCGTTTGTTTACGTATAAAGTCGGAATTCTAATAATAGCGAATATCCCCGGTCACGTGGTAGTATTCCCCAAGAAAATGACGTAATTTCCGCAGATATCTAACATGGCGTCTTACAGCGTGATCAATACGCTCGGTCGATTCAAAAAAAGTGTAAAAAGATGCAGAAAACTCAAGTATTCCGACTTAATTATAGCACATAACTATAGTGCAGGTAACCAGTATTACGTGTCAACCAAACCAGCTCTACAAGACATCAACTCTTCCTAAATCGGTTGATAATGAGGGTTGGAAAGAGGGAAGAAGAATCGTTGAGTTTGGCGTGTTACGGTCAAACCTAAGATTTTGTAAAAAATGTAGACTTGTTTATCTATTTTTTGGACCAGTTGGCTACCATTAACAGCACTGATTAACTTTTGACAACATGTTAGGTGAATTTAAACAGGGAGTGTCTGGTTATTTGTATGTGAAATGTCGAAACACAGAATGCGGTCATGTGAATTGTGTTCCCTATGGAAAAACACACAGACTCTAGTAGATTGAAGACCTGTGAAAGTTGGAATGCCATGGTTCGTTGTCAACACAAAATTAGGAACAGGTAAGTGATTAATGTATTGCATCATAGTTTACATTAAGTACTATATACTGATAATGAATTCATAGATGTAATGTCTCGTACCAAAATGAATATATCGATACATTATGATTTATCAGTGTTTATTTACTTGTCTTCCAATGATGTCAAACATGTAAAATTATGCGGACCAAATTTATGTTTCAGATTTATAAATAATTAATTATTATACAGAATACATGTATCTTGTTTGTGTTTAGCTGTAAAACACTACTCCTTATTGTGAAAGAAGTGGCTAGCCGTACGGCTAGCCAAAAGTTCTAGCCGTACGTGACTCACATACTCCATATAATTTTGAAAAGTGCCGTACGGCTAGCCAATACAGTGTGTCCTGGCTAGTCGTACGTGACTCACGTACGGCTAGAACTTTTGGCTAGCTGTACGGGCCCGTACGGCTAGCCACTTCCTATTGTGAAATGTTTTATAAACTTCCCTCTGAACTGTTTTAATTTCCCCAAAGTCACTGAGAAATTTGAAAAACAAATGATAAAACGTTGCTAAATTAAATCTTGCAACAATGCAATTTTTAGTAAGACATTACAGAATCCTACATGTACATTATATAAAAGACACAGTTTACACTAGGCTGCCAATACACACAGTCACAGTAGTACTAATATTCAACGTACATGAGGCAGCTAAAAATAGCTCTATATTAATTTATGCAATGTGTTATTATCATGGTTATGTAAATTACAATCCATGTGAAGTTTTTTTTTGACAAAATATTTGTATACTTTAATGAAATAAATTTGTTTCTTTCATTTTCTTACAGCAATGATTGATAGTGTAGGTGGGCCGGTGAGGGTCAACAATTTGTTGTCAACACTAAATATACCAACAATTGGAAATAAAAACATGAAAAGAAATGGAGAGACATGTTGGAAATATCATTGAGACAGCACTGGCTTCTATGCCGACAGAATCTGCTGCATAAGATCAAGGAAATGGAGTAAGACACATTTACATAAATTTTACAATGATATTTTCGAAATAACATGTACTTGAATTGGAAGAATTTCAAAAATTATTTTGTAATTATATGTCTATGCAGCTTATCATGGTATAATCCTATATTGCTGGCACACTCGTGGTTTAGGGAACCAAAGAATATTATACAATCCATATATGAGAAAAGAATTTTTAAACAATGGCTTTGTTGTTTTTGCATGTTACTCTATATTCATGTACATATTTCTTTTTTCAAAATAACATGAATGTGTAATTGTTTTTTTAAAAAAGTATTTATTTCTACATGACAAACTGGGTCCGCCTGGGCTCCTTGCCATTGGTACTTGTTGCTTGGTCATATGGGGGTTGCGTTCATTGAACGCCGCCTTTCCTTGTTGATCTTGTTTATCATATTTTACCTTCATTGGTTAAGACTAAAATTCATATTAAATACATGCATTCTTTTTAAGGGATGTGCATCATGAAGAATCAATGGTATCAGAACACAACATCATGGAAGATCTTATTGACAAGATTTGGAGGATGTCCTTTGCCAGATGTTTGCCAGCACTAAAGTGAGTACTGGTAGTTTGTTTTCTGTATTTTGTTTATTTACGAAAGTAAAGGACTATGCAAAACTGACTGGTGTTGTTGAACTGTTTGTGTTATGTCAGTTGCTTCAATAATATATGAATATCTCTCCATATAATGTTTGTACATATGTATTTTTTTTTTTTATTCAAGGTCTATTCATCAGTCATATGCTACAGTTACAAATGACAGTGAATGGTCAGATTTATACAATTGTGATTAACAATCCTCAACAATACATCAAACAAAAATGCCTATTAAACTGTAAGTTGAAATCTATGAGGTTTTTTTATATATATTTATAATCATGGTGTAGCAATTAAATGATAATACTGTGATAATTTTGTAATGCTATTTGGGGTCGTCTTCAATAGAAACAATTTGATGTATCTTCATGTGATGAATAATCAATATGCAGTCCGAATTATTTCATAAAAGTGATTACTAAAATTGGTCAGGAAAAAGTCGTGCAATTAGCATTAATAATTAACAAAACTTATTCTAGTAACTGTATGAACATTGTGTTACATTAATTATAAATATGTTATTGTCAATTCATTGGTGTTCAATCTTCAATATTTGTCAATATTACGTTTAAAGATGAATTTTAAAATACAGAAAATATTTCTGAAATATATTTTTACAATTACAGTTCTCACAGACAGTCAAAGGTTGAAAACAAATCAGAAGTGGTCCACATCTTAAAAAACCTCACAGCAGATTAAGACTTTCCCCGAAATTTCCCTGTAAAACCCGCAGTGGTATGTCCAGTGCAGTAGATACTGCCTGGCACAAAAGAGGATTTGACAGTTTAACATGTAAGTAAAATAAGATTATTTTTATCCCCCACAATGTGGGAGCATATAGCGTGGCACTTGTTAGTCTGTCCCAAAATCTTGTGAACGCAACTCTCTTAAACCGGATGGCAGATTTTGCTTAAACTTCCAGGGATTAACAAACTTAATGTGTAGATGGTAGTAAAGGAAGGAATTTTTGCTGCAACTAAATTAAACAGAATAATGGCCCTTTGTTGATTTTTAGTTTTCAACTTGTGGCACATGTAGTCCAAAAACTATTTGACCTAGAGTCATAAGATTGACAGAACAGTGGCGTGTGGGGGCATCCGTGTTTTATTGACACATTTCAAGTTTTTCTCAGTCATCATGTCAGTAATGATTTAGAATTTGTCAGAAAAGTATCTGTGTATATTTTAACCACTGTTATTGATGTATAATTGAAAAAGTGAGTTTTGCATACAAGTAAGACTGGTTAGTCAACATTGTTCTTTCAAACAGTGGCATTTAGACATCTTCTAGTGAGTGTCTACAAAGTTTGTTCAAATAAAAGACCTGGGGTCAAAATTTGCCCCGCCCCGGGGGTCATTGATTTTCCTTATATGTGTATAGCAAAAACTTAAAATCTTCTTTGAAAAAACCCAAATAGCTAGAGTTTAGATATTAAGCATGAAACATCTTCTAGTAAGTGTCTACAAAGTTTGTTCAAATTAAAGCCCTGGGGTCAAAACTGGCCCCGCCCCAGGGGTGTCATTGTTTTTAACTATATGTGTATAGTAAAAACTTAAAAAATCTTCTTTTAAAAAGCCCAATGAGCTAGAGCTTAGATTATTAGCATGAAACATCTTCTTATGGGTGTCTACCAAGTTTGTTCAAATAAAAGCCCTGGGGTCAAAATTGGCCCAGCCCGAGGGGGACATTGGTTTTCCCTATATGCATATAGTTAAATCTTAAAAAATCTTCTTTTAAAGAACTCAAAAAGCTAGAGCTAAGATATTTAGCATCAAACATGTTCTAATAGGTGTCTACCAAGTTTGTTCAAATAAAAGCCCTGGGGTCAAAATTGGTCCCGCCCGGGGGGTCATTGATTTTCCTTATATGTGTATAGCAAAAACTTAAAAAATCTTCTTTGAAAAAACCCAAATAGCTAGAGTTTAGATATTAAGCATGAAACATCTTCTAGTGAGTGTCTACAAAGTTTGTTCAAATGAAAGCGCTGGGGTCAAAATTGGACCCGCCCAGGGGATCATTGATTTTCCTTATATGTGTATAGCAAAAACTTAAAATCTTCTTTGGAAAAACCCAAATAGCTAGAGTTAAGATATTAAGCATGAAGCATCTTCTAGTAAGTGTCTACAAAGTTTGTTCAAATAAAAGCCCTGAGGTCAAAACTGGCCCCGCCCCAGGGGTGTCATTGTTTTTAACTATATGTGTATAGTAAAAACTTTAAAAAAAAATCTTCTTTTAAAAAGCCCAATGAGCTAGAGCTTAGATTTTTAGCATGAAACATCTTCTTATGGGTGCGGGGGGGGGATGCTATATACAGGTGAGCGACCTCAGGGCCATCATGGCCCTCTTGTTTAACATGATACCTTGATTTCTTAACTAAGTTAGATAAATAATATAATTTATGAGCCACTTGTCATTTGTAAATAAATCTAGGTTTTGCAATGCAAATACATGTTCATCCCAACAGATCAAAATCAAGCCAGCAATAAATAATAATTGCCTTTGGTGTTTATTTTCTTCATTTGTAGGTGGGCTTAATACTAATAGATTACTGCCACTTTACTTCAAAGTGGGGTTTTGGGGTATCATTCACCTTCAGTGATAGTTCTAGTTTTATCCAGTATAAACATGGTAACATGGAAATGAAAAATAAACCTTGTTTTTTTTCAGTGTACTGCACCAATAAACTAAATATGGAGAGAAGCTTAGTCACCAAAGCAGTCAACACCAAAATACACACAATGGCCAGGGCACTGAAACTTGGAAGAGTGAAAGAGTAAAGTAGTGCGTTTTTAGCTAACAAAGTGACATTGCGAGCTTTTGTCTATCTTTCGTCCGTAAACTTGATCTTTAAACAACATCTCATAAATTGCCAAGCCAATTTCATGCAAACTTCGATATTGTCTAGTCAGTTTTTGTTTTGCTTGCAATCGCTATATGACATTAAGGCTCCCACGTTTACAATTTTTTGTAAACGTTTACACGACTGCTAAGAACCGAAACGATACCGTTTAAACGGTGGTACCTCTATGTACTATACACACCATGTACTTGAGTCGCCAAATGATGTCTTTCTTTCTATTTTTTAATACATGTACAAATAAAGAATGTGCAAGGCTCATCACGATTGAGTCAGCACACATTTTTTGCATTGTAACCCCATTTTTTACCAAAAATGTATTATGTCACGAGCAATTTTGCACGGTAATACTGTGTGGAGGGTTGTAAACACCCATTTTCCGTTTGTTTACTTTGGAATAAACCACTAGAATTGATAAAATCCATGATTTCAGGCAATGATTAAGAAATTTTGTAAGACAATATGGTCATTTCGATTAAACGGTAAACAAAATCGTAAATGTTTATGAATGAAAATTGAAACGAATCCGTTTAAACGTGTAATCGTGGGGGCCTTATATGACATGACTAAAGACATTTAGTTTTATTCTTAAGTTATTATGTTTATGTTTGTATAAGACCCAAATATATTGTTAAGATTCATTTTTACAAATTTGAAAGCCATTATTGTTCTAGTCAGTTTTTGTTTTGCTTGCAATCATTATATTACATGGCTAAAGACAATTAGTTTTAATCTTTAATAGTTATGTCTATATTTGTATAAGACCCAAAAATATTGTTAAGATTCATTTTTACAATTTTGAAAGCCATTATTGCTCTAGTTTGTTTTTGTTTTGCTTGCAATTGTTATATGACATGACTAAAGACATTTAGTTTAAATCTTTAGTTATTATGTCTATGAGGGGCGTCCGTGGCCGAGTGGTTAAGGTCATTGACTTCAAACCACTTGCCCCTCACCGCTGTGGGTTGGAATCCCGACAGGGACTTTGGAATCTGTCTTGTGAGGAAGCTATCCAGCTAGCTTAACTGAACGTCAGTGGTTCTACTCAGATACCCGTTCGTGCCTAAAATAATGCAAGGAAGGGCACCTGAACGTCATGATATGACCTTTACTGTGTTGATGTGACGTAAAAACCCAAAACAAGCAAACAAAAAATTATGTCTATGAAATTCGTTGTTTGTATAAGACCCAAATATATTGTTGTGATTAATTTTAACAATTTTGAAAGCCATAATTGTTCGTGTCAGATATTGTTTTGCTCACAATCATAATGTTATATGACATATGAGTTTAAATCTGAAGGTATTATGTCCATGAAATATGTTGTTTGTTTAAGACCAAAATATATTTTTGAGATTCATTTTTACAATTTTGAAAGCCATTATTGGTCTAGTCTGTTTTTGCATAACACATAACGTTATTGTTAGTATTTATTGTTATTAATAGTGATTTGTCTAAGTGGATGTCGAAGTATGTATGTTAATCCATGCCAGTTCATGTTTGAATGAAACTTTTTGTCCAGATAGAAGATTACAAACTGTAACTTTTCTGATTTTTATCTTTTACAACAATATTATATTTCCCATTTATGGTGCTAAGAAATACTGCAACATGTGCTGAATAATAGCTATTGTCAAACATTGTTTATATGCTCCCCGAAAAATTTCGGCGGACCATATAGTCATTGGGTTGTCTGTCCGTCTGTCTGTACGTACATACGAACCTGAATTCGTGTCCAGCCCATAACTTTGTTATTTCTAGTTGGATTTTAAAACTATTTCACAGAAATGCTCACCATATTGAGACGACCTGTCGCCCGCAACATTTGGGTCGCTACCTTGAAGGTCAAGGTCACACCATGACCTTGAACAAAATCATGTCCTGCCCATAACTTCGTTATTTGAAGTCGGATTTTAAAGCTATTTAAAAGTAATGATCACCATATTGAGACGATGTGTCGTGCGCAGCATTTGGGTCGTTACCTTGAAGGTCAAGGTCACAGCATGACCTTAAACAAAAATTGTGCCGGCCCATAACTTGGTTATTTGATGTCGGATTTTACAACTATTTCACAGAAATGATCACCATATTGAGACGATGTGTCGCACACACCATTTGGGTCAATACCTTGAAGGTCAAGGTCGCAACATGACATTGAAGGAAAATCGTGTCCGGCCCATAAATTCGTTATTTGAAGTCGGATTTTACAACTATTTCACCGAAATGATCACCTTATTGAGACGATATGTCACATGCAACATTTGGGTCATTACCTTGAAGGTCTAGGTCACAGCATGACCTTGAAGCAAAAATGTGTACGGCCCATAACGTCGTTATTTAAAGTGGGATTTTACAACTATTTTGGAATTATCACACTTTGAACTTTGTCTGGGACATAACCCTGAAACTTCAAAAAATATACTTTTCTGTATCTAGGATCACCCCGGTGCAACCGGCTCTTGTTTTAATTGATTATTAAGTAATATGAACAATTCATGATAGCATCATAACTAAAGAGTGGAAATTTATGAAAGTCAAATATGTATAGAATCAGTTGCTAATAAAATGTGTGTAAAATTTATCTCTTTTTGGGAATTAATTTCTTTATTTTACAAATTTATCAAATTTCATTTTATTCTACTGATATGTTTGTAATATTTCTTTAATTTTCTATTGAAAAAATGTGTTAAACCAATATGTATTTGTTTTCTTATAATTCAGCTAGTTTTTATTATTCCAATGTTTGAAAAAATTGTTCGCCAGAACTTTACCAAAATGTTTGCCAAAATATCGCCATAACATATTTGCTGAAACTGGCAAATATGCAAATGAAGTTTGCCGCAGTGTTACCAAAAGCTTCTGGCGAACATCGGCAAACTTACTATGCAAATGAAGTTTGCTGCAAATTTGCCGCAAACTTTTGGCGAACATCTGCAAACTTTTACCATGCAAATGAGGTTTGCGGTAAATTTGCCGCAAACAGAAGCTACCTCCCCCTACAGTTAGCGGCAAGTTTGCCGCTAACCTCATGAGTTGCGGCAAATTTGCCGCAAACCTCATTTGCATGGTAAATAATTGCTGAAAGCAGTTTGCCGCAAACTCACCGCAATGTTTGCGGCAAACTTGCCGCAATGTTCACCAGAGAGCCCTTTTTTTGGTAAGGGAAACAATGTTAAAATGGCTGCCATCAATTAACAGAATGTCAAATTTACTAAAATCGATTATGTCAGTCAACATTGAAATCGTCTCTAACCTGTTTTGCGTCAATGTTATATGATTACGTTTTGGATCCCAAAAGTAAGTTTCCTTATTCACATGCTTACCTTAACGCAATGTTCAGTCGTTTATGCAGTTGATTTTTGTGTGTGTCGGGCGGTGGGTACAGGAAATGTCACGATAGTGTCAGAAGATATACAAAAAAAAAACAACTAAGTATTGTACCATCTTCCAACAGACAACTGTTAGTTTTGTCAATGCTAAAATCAACACTTACTTTGTTCCTCCAAATGGCCATCCAATTTCTCGATAAACTGTTTTTTTTTTTATGAGATGCGCACTACTTTCCATCGGTTTCTATAGTGTCCTGTTTGAGGCATTTAAAATGTCGCCTGTTAAGATTGACTACACACTGGCAATAGCTTTCGCAGAAGCGGTGGATCCATCGCAGAGGCGGTGGAGTATTCGTCGCAGAAGCGGCGGATAAAATATGGCCGTTTGCTGTTGCGGTAAGTATTTGACTGAATTCTGTTTTATGTTTTAATGTTTTACTGGAAACACTTAGTGAGACTGGGGCCCACATATGTACTCTTTCAACTTATTAAACGCACACTGTGCAATTCATTGTCGCTAACGATGTACGTCGGCGTGTTGTCGCGATGTCACATTGTCGCTCGGTTCAAATCGAATAATTGCCTTATAAGTCAAGCGTCAGGGCTACATCGCGACAACGCGCCATTTGGCATGCTTCGCTAGAGACAGAACGACAAGACAAGAGCGCGACAACGCGCCGTTTGATGAAACTTTCAAAAAGGCCCCATCATGTCCCTAACAGGTGCTAAAGCTGTTTAAAGTCTATGAATGGTTTCTCATAATCAACAAAGTACTAGCATTAGACTTTTGTAATAACGATGCTGGCTATAACGACTGTTAGCGATATATCTCTCTCCAGATATCTCAGATAACATAAGCTTACAAGCGTTCACACCGGGAGTCTAGTACATCCAAATTGTATAAATCTTTCTAACTTGTAGGATAAGCAGATGCCACAGTTAGCTAATAAGCAATTTGTCTGATAACTTTTTTTTCTCACTCCGGTTTTGTTTTGCTGACATGCAACATCATGCTGAAGATCCCTGCGAGGCAGACATTATAAACGTCCGTATTGTGATCGCCAGTAATAATAAAGGATTACTTTAGTAGATAAAAAAGTGTCTATGATAGAATTCGGCGTTAAATCACTGAAAAACACGGCCTTGTCGGCATCCTTTCATTGTGTCAATGTGTCCTGGTAGGAAATGCTAGACACCTTCTTTCAGTTTTAACTTACCACTCTCAATGCTTTCATGTCACGCAAGAAACCTATCTGAACGTTAGAATGGATATTAACAGACTGTTCTCAAAAGGAAATTTTCGTATGCATCACAACGAAAGTTGTATATCTACTAAATACATATGACAAATATGAGGATTGTAGTCGAAAGAAGACAAAAAGGTCATAGATTTTCTTACTTCCTTATGCTGTAGATTGTTATTCTTGACTTTTTATGGGTGTCCGTGGCTAAGCTTGTAAATGACTTCAAGCAAACTTGTCCCTCGCCGCTGTAGGTTTTAAAATTTTGTCGCGTGACTGTATTCTTTCAAGTGAGAAAGCTATTTAGTTGACTTACGGAACGTCAGTAGTTCTAATCAGGTGCCTATTCGTACCTGAAATAATGCACGGAGGGGCACTTCAGTTTTTCCTCGACCAGTAATGCTGGAAAGTAGCCATAAGTATGATATGTTCTGTATTAGTGCAACGTAAAACCATAAACTAACCCAAACATAGATGAATAAATATGGATTTAAAATGCTCCCCGGGCAACAGTATCACAGATGAAAAAGTTTTGAACCACTGAAATAAAGTGTAATATCTGAAACTTGCATGCCTAGTTTCAATTTTTGGGGCAGTCCATTATCAGTTTTAGGGATATCAAGATTAAAATGTTTCAGCCAACAGTATATGGTAAGACTGCATGGAAGTTTACTTAAACGTTTAGACTGTTGGCGGTAACTGTTTCGAGTCATGGGAGAGGTCAAATTAAATATAAAAAAAATAAGTGAATTTATTGATTGCATGATAAAATGCAAAACTTAGCCTACAATGTCCTGTATCAAAATATTTATCTCTTTGATTTAACCAAACCAATATGTTGTTTTCAATACGATTTTTTATTTCAATTAATTTTGAGGTACTAGTATTCGAAATCCAAAAAGAGGCGGTTCCTTTATTATAATATTTAAAGTTGATTTTTTAAACATTTTACACAAACAACTATGATCCGCAACGCAAAAGTTTACAACCAACAATCATTTTATCCGGATGCCTCTCTGTATATCAAACCCTGTTTCATTGAGTTTGCAAAAAACAAACCAAAAAAAAGCAGACACAATTTGTCAGCGAATTGGCTTTCAGCAAGTGTAATGGTTGTTCTGTACTTGAGCATTTGAATTAAACCGTTTAAGATTAAATAAATATGTTGTTTTATAAGTTTGTCTGTTCTAAATAAAAAAGGTGAAATATAATGATCAATCATTGGGTCGTAGTCATGTAGCCCATCACTAAAACATTTTTAATGTTGTCAGTTCGAAATCTGGAGTACTTAATTATCATATGATGCAGTTACAAAGCAAGAAGGGGCATACTTCTGAAATCAATATTTTAGGATTATAAGACGAATGATTTAAAAAGTATAAAAGGTAACAACATCGACCTTAAAATAAGATTTATTTTAACATGACAAGGCACAGTTGAAAGACAAGGGATATTATTCTGAAAGATATATGTTTGGAGTTATGCCCCTTTTATCCAAGAATATTTGTCAAATGAACACATTGTTCTCTGAAATCCATTAACATGAAATTCGGAAAACTAGATTATGATGACTAAGAACAATTGTTATACATTATCTTGAAAGCAAATTTAGGAGTTATGCCCCCTTTTCACTTAAAATATTTGTGAAAATTGTTAATTGAAAGCCATTGCCCTTATCAGACGAGCGTAAAAAACGCAAGTTGTGCTCTTGTATTTCATTTTACAGTTGTACTAATGTACCATTGCATATTTTACCTACTAGTTTGTTATCGTAAATTAAAAATGTCGATAATGAGTGGTTCAAACAATATGACAATTTTCCTTAAAATTCTTTACAAAAAGCTCTGTATGATTTCCAAGTAACACAAGTAATATTTGTATTAATGAACCAGTGTTACATTACATCACATGTCATGCAGACAGTTCCGACATGGAAGCAAAAAAGTCCTGTTTATCAAGACGTCACTCGTAGAAATTCAAATTTAATGCACATTTAAGATTCAATGTGAAAGGGATATAATATTTCAATAATTGTTATACTTCACTTTAATTTACACATGCTTGATATAAATTTAAATTCCTAACTTTTGCATATTTCAAGACCTTTTCATAAGCTAGTACAGTGTATTTACAAATGTATCAATCTGAATACATCTTTAGACATTTTGAAATAACTCTATTGATGTCCAAATGAGTAAAAACGTATTATTTGAAAATCTTACAAATATAAAATGAACAACTTAAAATAGAACAATCTGCAAAGACTTACAAAAATATACTCAGGGTTAAATTGAAATTGATTTTTGAGCTGTTCTTAGCTGGATTTTACTGAAAAGCGCTTTTCAATTTTAAGTCATTTTGCACAATAAAATTATTATTCTTGAAAATAGATGGAATGCCCTGAAGATTTGCACACATTCATAAAATGACACACACATCCCAGAAACATATTTTTTCGGCATGTTGAAAAATTTCAGTGGAGTCCCTTTAATTCACATCTGTTTGAAGAAAACAGAGAAGTTTAGTTCAGTGAAAAATCTCCGAAGAAGGACACGTATTACTGTATTACATACGATGGCTTGACTAAAGTTATTTCCATTATGCCAACACTGTCGGTTTTTTTCAAGTCCATAAGCCTTAACAAATTAACAGTCTTTAAATGACTTTGTGTGCGCAACAACAAAAGTTGAATATTATATAAACTTAAGTGATGAACATGCGAGTTTAAGATAAAAGGAGCAGAGAAAGTAAAACGTCATGCAGTTCTGTAAAGGACTAGAACTTAATATGTTAGTACCACAGCAAAAATGATATTATATCTTCTTATTAACATAAGTGGAGAACCTTCATTAACCTTTATATTACATTGTATTCATATTATACACGAACAGTTTTAAATACTGGTAAACATACTTCAGACAAACCAAGCCTTTACACATGTACTACCTCAATAGAAACATTACGTGTTATGACATTTCTTTCTCATATTACTTTAACACTCAAATTTTGTATTTAACTCTCTTTACCATTTCTACACAATACTCTTTTCTCAGAACCACATATACGAGTACATGTATAAACAAACCTTTAAAACACTTATGTTGAACTTTGATTTAAAAAAAATC